CACACACACACACACACACACACACACACACACACACCTTAAAGAAATACAAGCCAGGTCTGATGGAGCATGCCTTTAGTCACAGTCCTGGGGAAGCAGAGACAGGTGGGCCTCTGAGTTCGAGGCCAGCCTGGTCTACAAAGCAAGTCTAGGACAGCCAGGGCTGGCTACACTGAAAAACCTTGGGGGGAGGGCAGGGGAGAAATATATAAATGTAAATAAAGATGAAAAAATTAAGTGTTTTTTTCTATTGTTAATCTATTTTTACCCCCTGTGCTAGAAATGGAATCCAGGGCTTCTAGGCAGGGCTTCTGTACTACTGCTAAAACCCACCTGTTAGCCCCTCTCTGGGGGGTCCTAAAGTGTTCTACATCTCTAGATCTTTAAATTCTTATTTTTTTTAGTTAGTTTTATTTTACATGCATCAGTGTTTTGCCAGGTCCCCTGGAAATGGAGTTACAGAAAGTTGTGAGCCGCCCTGTGGGTGCTGGGAATCGACCCTGTGTTGTCCGGAAGAACAGTCAGTGCTCTTAACCTCAAAGCCAGTTCTCCAGCCTCTCTAGATCTTGTCTCACTTTTTGAAATAGAGTATGGGAAATGATCCAGGCTGGCGTGGACTTTACTCTGTAGCCCAGGCAGACCTGGGACTTTCTATCTTCCTGCCTCAGCTCCTCAGGTGGCTCGGGTGCTAGGTTTGTACAACCAGGCCAACCTAGGCATAGCTCTGTGTTCTGGGCAGGTCTAAATGACCTATCTCCTTGCCCAATCTTCCCTTGTGACTCAGGAAAGCCCAATCTACCTCCCTGTTAGCTTAACAACAGATAACATCTCTGAAGGGGGTGGGGGTTGTGTGGAGGGATGGGACCGGATGGGACCAGATGTTGGATGGTTGACCGTTGTTTACTTTGCTTTATTCTGTGTGGGTTTGGTTAGAGCCATGCCTAGCTCAGACTGGTTGAAACCAGGTTCTTTGCTTTAGGGCTGTACAAGTGTCCAGGAAATGTGATTTTGACATCCTGGGGCCCCAGGCTAAGATCTCAGCTCAGGCTAAAGCTCAATTTTCTGAATGTGCTTCTCTGGTAGCCACCTTCTCCCCCAAATCAGATCACCTTGTTTCTTTGTCCTTCGAATTTATTTATTTTTACATCTATTTATTTTCAGTTGTTGCTGTGTGCGCATGTGTGTTTTGTGGAGGTCAGAGTACGACTTGCTGGAGCTAGTCCTGTCAGGTGAGTCCTGGAGAGTGAACTCAAGTCATCCTCTGAGCCATCTTGCCAGCCTGTCTTGTCTCCTAAATACCTTGAAATTCCCTTTATGGAGGCACATTTGAGTCAGTCTCCCTCTGCCACCCCGGCACCCCCCCCCCCCCGTGTGTGTGTGTGTGTGTGTGTGTGTGTGTATACATGTGCACATGTAGATAAGAACATATCAGGTATTCTCAGCCACTCTCCACCTTGGTATTTGAGACAGGGTCCCTCACTGAACCCAGAGCTAATGGATTTGGCTAGCCAGGCTGGACAGTGAGCTTCGGGGATTCTCCTGTCTCTGCAACCCCAGCACTGGGGTTCTCCAACCTGAAAACTTTAAAAACTGAATGCCGGGGACCCACACTTCCATAGTAAGTACTTTACAGGCTCTGCCATCTTCCAGGTCTGGTTTCTAAATTTACTTTTCAATTACTTACTTACTTAATTAATTAATTTTGTTCTGTGGACCAGGCTGGTCTGGAACTCAGAGTGCCTCCTGCCTCTGCCTCCCCAGTGCTGGGATTAAGCCTGTGTACTACTAATGCCTGGCATGTATGTTTATTATTTTTTAATTATGTGTGTGTGTGTCGTATATGGATGTGAATGCAGGTGTCTGCCAGGAGGCCAGGGGTGTCAGATACTCTGGGGCTGGAGTGACAGGCAGTTGTGAGCCACCCCATGTGGGTGCTGGGATCACTGGTTCCTCTGGGAGATGAAGAAGTACTCTTAATCAAAGAGCTGTTTCTTCAGCTCTTGCAATGATTTATTACAGTTATTGTGTGTATGTATGTGTGTGTACATATGTACTCG